CCCACTGCTCCCCTCAGCAGTGTACTTCATCCATCTGCCTGTTCTGCTCCCCACTCTGTCTCACCGCCCCTGAGCCTCTGGCCTGTACCCCAGTTCTGTACGCATAAATAAATCTTTTAAAAAAATATGCTGCTTAAGCCTTGCATTACTGAATCTGAAGGGGAAAAGAGCTGTAAGTTACCTCAAGGAAACAAATCAAATGGCATGCAAATTTCATACACTAAATTTCTCTTTGTTCTGTAATAAATTCTTTATGCACATAAAGAGCTAAGCAAAAGAAATGACACAATGATAAAGACTTTAGAGACATTGAAAACTAAAATTCACTTTGCAAAACATTTCTCTAATCAAGTATTTTCTACTCCAAATTTGTTTTATTTGAGGGAGAGTGGGGACTATTTATATGAGAAGGAAGCTTGAATCTCAGCATTCTATGACATAAACTGTGTTCCCATAGACTTGAAATTTGTTTTAAAAAATATACATACCAGACACATAAACATTTGTATTTCTGTCTTCTTCAACATGAAACCATCCTACAAGTCAAAATGAATTAAGTCAATCAATAAAACACAAGCAAGAGAAGTCATGTTATGAAATCTTAACAATGTAGCAGTTTCTCAAAACTTCCAGAAACTTTCTCTCACCCTTAGACAAGACAGACTAACTCAAACCACCATCCAGTTTTCAAAGTGTTTGGATTTTTCGACAGATAATTAGTTTCAGAGCTCTGTCTCAAAAAAGATGGCTGGTTTACCTTGGTTCTTTGTGATCCTGACACTACCTTAAAAAACCCATCCTGCACTGACTTTAGACTCTGGCATAAGTTGCCTTCTGACTCCAATCTACTAAGTCAAATATGGCCAAGCCAAAGAAAAACTGACCCCAAAGTATGAACAGAACTTTTGAAAACTCCCTATTAACAGCTCAATTTTGCAAAGGGAGCAAGTGAGGCACCAAATTGAAACAGCCCAACAATGAGCAAAAGTCAGCACAACAGACAACAAACTAACCCAAACAATATGTTAAAAAAAAAACCCTCATTTTATGTTTCCCTTAAAGTTATTATAAGCCTCCAAAAGGGGCTGTATGTATACACACTTTTCATTTTTATGCCCATATTTTGCTAGTTAGCTCCACTTGCCTGACTCGGTCTTTCTTTTTTCTCCCCGCTTTTTGGAATCACTGGGTTCAGGGGTTTTTCTTTGTGGCGGTTCCTCTCCAGTCCTACCACTCACATCTTGCACACTTGCAGAAGAGCTGGATGCACCATCACTAGAAAAGCCATAATTGGCCTGATACGTAGCGATGAAATCTTCAGTGATCTAAAAAATTTCAGCATACATATATGTGGCCATTAAAAAATGGTCCCCCCCCCACCAAGAATTTATACCATGTTAAATTACAGCATATTCATTTAAACATGGAAATGTTTCTGTAGATGACACTTGTCATTACAATGTAAATGCAGGAATACCTGCCATAGGAAACTATGTGTAAAATGGTAAAAAGTAATACATAGGTATTTGGATTGTGAATACAAAGGTCAGAGGTCCTTAAGGCTTTTACTGATGTTGGCACCTTTTCTAGCTTTTTCATTTATAAATGACTACATGTAAGTTACCACCTGTGATTTATCTATTACAGCCTCTTTGACTGAGGCTACAACCACAAATAACAAAGAAGTACTGGATAACAATGAAACAGAAGAGCCAATAGTCAACTAATAATTTAACAACAGAATCCATTTTTCTTTTACTATCTAGATACACAAAAGGTTATGTACACAAAATACTTAAATATCTACGCAGAGAACACACAGAACAGTACTCCGAGTTGGTGTAGAAAGAATGTGGCTAACAATCATAATAAATACTGAACTCACTAATTTAATCATATAGTCACTTAGTGTCAGGACACATTAAGAACAAATCCTCATGGCTTTCAAGGAGAACAAAAGGCACGGTTGCACAATGAAAGAAATGTAGTTATATCTTCATGCCAATCAATGTTGGGGACAGGGAGAGATGGGGGACTTTTTAAACTCCAAGTTTCAAGAAGTATAGGTTTCCATAACATAAAAGATAAGACACAATTGATCCACTATCAGACTATTGCAAAAACCCTCAGGAGACTGAAGAAACCACATCTGTTCTCCAGCTGGCATTACCCATACAAAAGGGAAACACTAAACCTAACAGTTTGGAAGGGATGGAACAGATACACAAAAAAGGAAAGAAAAACATGGAAATAAACATTTTTTAAAATAACAAGTCAATTACACAATGGAAACAATGGTTTGTTTTGGGTATTCTTCCCCCCTCCCCCCAGGCCCATTAAACTTTTACCAACAAGTTTGCACAACCAAGTTTAACACCAGCTATTTTACTTAGAAGCCGACACAAAACACTGAACAATCCCCAAGTCCTCTCAACCAACAGACTGATCTTTCCCATCCATCATCTTTGCACCTTCAGTCATATCTTGTGGTCACATGGTTCAGACACACAGGCCTACAGACAGCATTTATCAAGAAAGTTGAAAGGCGCAAAATTCAACCCATGAAGATATATCAACGGCGACTTGCCTTCACTTTAAGAGGATGCATTTTTCACATAACACCTAGGATCAATGAGGTTGGCTATCTGCGATTATCAACTACTAAATTACTTGTGGTATTTTTCCTCTTTGCCATAAAAAGCAGTCACCAGTATAACGGCCAACTGTGACCTTCAGAGTAGAGAGAATTAGGCACTGAAGAGGCGCAAGAGTGAGACACATTTCAGACCTCTGTCTCTGAAGATCTAGCCACAGAACAACAAAAAGAAACGTCACTATCCCTGAGGTCTCTAACCCAGGACCTCCGCCAAGGAAACGGACCAGAGCGCCCCTCGAGGCTGGCCAGGGGGGCCCCGCTCCGCGGAGGCGCCAGGACCACGCTCCTACCTTGGGGAACCAAGCCTTCTTGTCCAGGTCCCACTCGTAGGGGGTGTCCGCCGGCGGCTGGCCGAAGGTGTCGTTTTCACCGCCCGGCTCCTTCTGGGTGTCACCGCCCTTGGGGTCTCCGTACAATTCTTGCATTCGCAGCTGCTCGTCAAACTCGTCGTGTCCTTCCAAGTTGTGGCCACTCATGTTGGCGACCTAACCCAGGGGCAGGGTCCAGGCGGGCGGAGAGGCCGAGATGACGCCCGCGGGGAACACAGACAGGAGCCGGTCAGCCGCGCGCGGCCCGCGCCCC